CGACTGAATCAGTTCTTTAAATTCATGTGCACCTCGTCTTATTTCAGATGGTTCCGCGACTTTGACTTGATTGGACTAAACCGAGTTTAGCGAGAAATGTCAAGTGATCTGAAAGAACCCATCAGTGGAAACTTGGGTTCCCAAGAGGACGCAGTGTCCAATTTTGTCACCCAACAAGCAGACATAGTATCTACGGACGCAGCGGCTCTCTCTCCTCAGGATGTGTTCGAAGCATGTCGGCTGGGTGACGCCTCGCACGTGAGATTCCTTCTGGACAGTGGTGTGTCAGTTAATCTGAAAGATGCCACAGGACGCAAATCCACTCCGCTGCACTTTGCAGCTGGGTATGGTCGACTTGAAGTTGTTGAGCTACTATTGATGCGAGGAGCAGATGTTTCGGCAAAAGATGACGGCGGTGAGCTAACTACTTAACACGAATATCGCATACTTATAAGAACCTAGTTGCAAATTTTTCTAGTCCATTAGGCCTTTTCTAACTAAGCATAACTGACCAAGAACGTTCTCCTTGCCACTCATGTCAGGCTTAATCCCTCTGCACAATGCATGCTCGTTTGGACACGCAGAAGTTGTGCAATTATTGCTGGCAGCCAACTCAGACCCGAATGCACAAGATAACTGGCACTACACCCCCCTGCACGAAGCTGCAATCAAAGGGAAAGCAGAAGTCTGCATCCTCTTACTACAGGTTTGTTGGACACCAGTGTTCTTTTCTGTTGTGGCAATTATCTGTCCTTCACACCACTTATGTTCTGCTTATTCGTATAACACTAAGATTGCAGACTTTCTCCCAACCCCTTTTCCGAAATCATTTATGCACTGGTGCGAGCCCAAGTTTCGACCCTTTTGCCGATTCTCTCAGTAAGCTAGTTATTTTAAGGTAGCTGTGCGTCATTCCGGCCAGGCATCATAACGGGATGGGACCTGGGCACGTCCAACGCGCACATTTATGTGCAATTTCTATGCAGGGCCCTGCTTCCTATTCATTCCCATGTTAGTAATCCAACTCTCTCTTTTTGCACTGACGCTGTTATGAGTTTAACATGAGGCCTACAAAGGTTATATTCTACTGGATTGTCTTGACATCAATCCGTGTTTCGAAGTCATAACTACTGCTTGCAGCGATATTTTTATTTATTGCAAAGTTCCCAACTTTTCGTCAGCAGTGATTTTCGCCATCTTTCTCAGAGTGGGCTATAAAATGAGCAGAAGTGGCGTGCAGTGGTGGTTTTCCATCATCCGTCCTTTGATTCTCCGCATCACCCGGCCCACGTATATTCGATCTAGGTAAATTTCAGCTTCATAGGTGCTATGGCAGATTTAAAATGATCCCTTTTTGACCCAACTGTGAAAAATGCTGTGTCTCCGTGGGATTCGAACACAGTACAGCAAGGGGAGGCTTTAGTACAGCCAACGCTCTAACCACCTGAGCTACGAGGTACCACCAAATTTCAACCTATTAACGGTCGAGGCTCCCAAGCCCCGTGTCAGGTCAGCGGTTTGTGATGATTCATTACCTTTTTGCAAGTAATCTCCTCACAATAAGCGTTAGCGTGTCCTTCGTAAATCAAATGATATTGGCTATTTTGTCGTTACTTTCAGCACGCCTGATAACGTCTGCTTTGACTACTTTCTGACGGATTTCGAAGTTAAATGAGCTAGTACAGGTGTTTGCTCGGGACGTCGGTTATAACATCAAGCTACACCTGTTACTCCTATCAGAGTCTACTGACGGTTAGTTTCACTGGCGCAGAATCACTTCTGGTTTTTGCCGCACAATTATTCCAAGATTTTCCCAACAGGGCACCGACTATTAAGTCAATGGGCACGAGGTCGCAGAAAGGCGTTCTGCCGTCTCTCTTTCGGGATCGATGCGCTCCAATTGTATGGGATCTATCCCCATCCCTCCTTCTATTCTGTGTAGTTCTTCTGTCGTTCGCTTTTCGATTTTTTTTCTAGGAGCGCGGTTGCCCACAAGCCGAAATTCAACACTTTCTCTGTAAGCTGCCACTCAAATAACACTGGTAAATATTGTCATTGAACCCAATAGGCACCAGAACCAGTTAACATAAAGCGGTTTCCACGACGAATTTTTCGGTTGCAAGCGTATAGGACTGAGGAGACGGCAGCATTCAGTGGTTGCCGGCTGCAATGATTCCGGGTGCTTTCGCTATCTACCCACTTTCTATAAATGAATTAATACAAACGTCAAGCATTACTAGGGACCGTCACGACTCCTCTTTAAGTAATTCAGTTCCATCGTCTTTGTGAATCCAACAGCCCTTGCCAGACATAACTGTTAGCTCTTGTTTGCGAGCCGTCTGGGGAAAAGTCGTGTCGTTCTGTAGATTCTTTCAGCTCCGATCTCCCAGTCGCGAGGCCTAGACTGTTTTCATAACGCATTTGTTTTCTAAAGACGGAGGCTTCAGAATGCACACGGGGTCTACTCGGGGTCTTGAAATATTCAGAACCTGGCGACATAATAACCTCTTTTTGGGGTGCCCTACCACATTCACGTGTGCACTTTTTCTTGTGATAAATTTGATGCACTTTGCTCGGCATGGGCTGACCTAGTAGCGGCCGTTTGTCTATTAAGGGCTCGCAAGGATGTATGCTTTGGGATCAGCGGGCTTCCTATCGTTAGGGAAAATATGTCCTAGACGGTGCTGATTGTTCAGGTTTTTTGTTAACAATTGACTTAGGACCGCAGATTAAACCGACCTTTCACCCTCGTCGCAACCGGCACTGAACCTAGCAGTTTCAGCCGTAACCGCGTCCTTTCCACTTACTTCTGCAGGATTATTGCAGTAATAAGTAATTCAACCGACTTGCATTTTTTACTTGCACCTAGAGGCTGTCTGCATTCTTATCAGTGATAATATGTAGTAAGGGCACGTCTAATGATGACTGGGAAGACAGGAACACCGGCGAAGACGAGCTATGCCTGCTAGCGTAGCTTCTGACTACCCTATTTGTCCGAAGGTAGCTAAAAATAAAATGGTATTCGGCGAAGGTTACTTGCTAAATGAGCGGGCTTTTAGGTTTGATAAAGAAACTTTCGTGGAGACAGTCCTAGCAGGATGCGGAGGGTTACGGTCTGGCAGCGGCCGCCCTATAAAATGCCGCAAAACTCGATAAACGGTGCTGTTACTGCGCATGCTTCTGCCTGGTTGTTGCCAAACGCTTTGGTAGACTAACGTATGCAGCGGCCGCTCCTCTAGCTCAAACCGAAGCAGTTTCCTCAAAGAACCCCATCAGGTCCAAGGTCATAGAAGGCGTCATCGCAAGACGTGGATCTGCTGTTGAACTGTCCGACTGACGATCCGCATGCTTTCGTGACGATCTGAACTCCCAGCCTTCGCATCGTCTGGCCACGCGTCCAGTGCTACACGAAAACTGCAAACTCTGGAGTAAAACAACCTAAGCTCGGGAAAGCGCGTTGCGTAGCCTGCAAAGATGGGAGAACAAATGTGGACCGATAATGTAAATGCCCGACACGACACTCTTGTGGAAGCAGCACTTTTCCAGCCTCTGAATCCTCTCTTCCCTCCTTCTTCAAATGAAGCCCAGTTAGACGATGCTTCGTTGTTCGAATACGACTGCGACTGCAGTGCACAATCTTGGTAGCAGGCCGTTGGATCGGCAGTGGAAGTGGGGAACAGAAGAGCACCTGGTGAGACCTTCTTGCGATGGGAATCTATAAGCATTATTGGCAGGAATATCCAAATGCCTACATTTTCCTCTGGCACGCTGGGAAAAAATAGGCCAAGTCCGCAGAGTAGAGTAACTTTGTCATCCTCCTGAGCTTCGAGCAAGGCGACTGACTGCTGCATAAAAACTGCCGTGGCATTAGAATTTTTTACATGGCTGTACCAATCTTCACTTTCTATATTGACTGTGATGCACAGAAAAGACGAATAAACACGGGTTACGGTGGAAAGCTAGGACGTGTGAATCGGCGCTCCCGACTTATTCCGATGCTTGTACACCGTCATTGTCATCAACAGTCTATCTTCCTTTGTACTGAAAATTTTGACTATGTACATCTGATTACCGTCTGTTCGATCATGCTGCGTGATGGCACGTCATCGAAGATATTATGATCGATTCAAGCTTACCATCAAAAAAAACGTGAACTATATTCCATATGAATTATGAGGAAAGTAACTCATTCAATGTTGCCCCTTGCGCTCATCAGGGCTATACCCTCTCACCAACTACTCGGGTACGCGATGAACGGAGTTCTTCAGCACCCTTTTCAAGACGGCCCGGTGTTACAGTAGTTCATGATCCGTACAACAGGGATCTGGCTTACACTGATGGCCTTGCGATGCTGAAAGGGACCTTTTGTAGAAATGCAATGTGACGTGTTCTAAGTAGGTGCGAATGAGGTCCTGTTTCTAAAGGGCGATGAGGAATGGTCCATTCGTTCGGAAGGTTTACATCGCCTGGAAATAGTCGATCCAGGCTCATTTCTCCGATCGCGTGTTTAAGCAACGCCCTTATAGTCAGGAAGTCAACTCACCAACCTCTTTACTCACAGGCTGAGATGACTCAGCCATCGTTCTATCCCAATCTTGGCTTAAAACGGAGTCGAGGTTGTCAACTGAAGACACTGGTGAATGTGGTGAAAACTGACCTCGAGCAATGTCTGCCCCTCCGTCTTTAGCGCACGAGAACGGCGTGCCAGCTGTCCAAACTCCCCTAGTAATTCTGCATTGACTGATTTTACTGGAAGGCGACCGTTCGTGATATGGTGAACCTGCAGCATAGAACTGTCCAGAATTGCGCAGATTGGACATCTTCGGGTCCTCCTCAGCACATGCGTCCTTGCCTCTCGGATAGATTTTACCGCCGCTGACTAGATCTCACCAGTTTCTGAACCTATGCAATTCCAGTCCAAAGGACTCGACCTAGCGCCGAGTGTATCAGGTGGACACTTGTCTCTGTGACACTTTTGACTTCAGTGTTGGATCCAGTAGGTGGAACTATCGGTGTACCTACAAAACTGCTGTCCACGTACACTCTGTACCCAACCATCGATCTTCTTGCTTCCTCGTCTACCATGATTCCACTCCGGCACCTACCTCACCTTTAACATTCAGCTTGACTAGCCTGTGACAGTTCCTGTTTCCTGCCCACAAAAGGCATTTAAAATAGGGAACATAACTTTTGCCATGTTATGAAATTCGCGGGAAAAAAAACCTCGCAGCTGGGGAAACCGCCCACACTACATCTCTTCCCCTCCAAAGTTGAATTTTACAGGAAAGCTGCTATTCTTAAAGAAAAGCCGTAGTCTGCTGTAGAAAGCAATTAAGGCTAAATACACCCGAAATAAAGTGGGAAGTCTACAGAAAGGAGTAAACTACAATGAAAAATAGTTTCAGCTACAAGATATGAGTACTTTGTTTATTGTTCTTTTGCATGTAATACACCGGCAAGTCTGTCAGACGTGGAAGGGGCCGAATTTTTTTATGGTGTTTTGGTCTGTGTGATTATTAAACACGGAGTCCCGTTCATTGAAAAGTTCCCACATTATGCCCTAGTCCCTTCATGAAGTGCGAAGATAGTTCTAATCGGATTGCGGTCGCGGCTGCTGGCAGTGGTGAAAAGTAATTGGAGGTCGCGAGCGGAGAGGTTGGCTGTTGTTTGAAAAAACTTAAGTAGTGGTCGTACATGTCACTGGGACCACATCTTTTGAGCGGTGTACAGGGGCCTCATTCTTCAAACTTATGGCATTTATCCGGCATCGGTGAATGGCCCTGTGACCGAAGACATCTTTCGCGATGTCGATTAACAGCTTTCAGTTGTCAGTTTTCGTTCTTCACTGCCATATTGGCTGCCTGCGAATTGGATAACATTCCTAACCGTCGGACGTCGACGGTTCCCGAAAGCTGTAGTTGGCACAGTATGTTCTCATGAGGGGTTATTCCGAGCCACGACCATTTGGGCCGCCCTCGTAGGTTTATCTCAACATAATACCTAATCGCAGAAATGGATGTTCTTCCAGAATGATGGTTGGTGATCAGTGTATTCCTTAGCTTCTAAGAAAAGCTCTGTAATCAGTTGCCTGCTTTAAATGATGTTTTGAAGATGAAGGTCAAATTCCCTCACCCCTTTCGTAATTATGCTAAGGATACCAAGAATATCCCCTGTGGATAGTTTTACGGGACATATAATGATACTTTTTAGTGTCTGACTAATAAAATCCTCAGTTTGCTTGTCTGTGGACCAGGTTGGTCTACCATATTTATAGGCACGACCGTGTCATGAATAGTCCGTCACAGAGTCAAAGTACTTTCTAACGCTTCACGCGGTAGCAATTCTGTTGGTAGTTTCTGTACCCATTCAACGTCGATGACAGGGAACAATTGTCTTGACACCTTTGTCATATGACTTGATGGTGGAAAGTGGCAGCATGCCACAGGCACTCTTCATACACTAGCTTACGCCCTCTATTTCTCAATGCAGTAAGACGAACTATTGTCAGCCAACTCTACTACTGCGTTTTGTGCCAAAAACACTCCCAATTTGAAAATTAGAATTTTTAGGGTTGAATCGCCCTCCAATTCCTTGAAATGGGTGCGATTAATCATGTATGACCGCAGTTGATTTCAATGGACAAAAAATCCAACTGAGTCGGAGATGTGGGAAAATTAGAAATCAAAAGCCGGATGACGGAGAGAGGCGGATCGACTGTGCAGGAACTCAATAATCGTTCGCCTCCTGCAGCTTCTTTACTGTCGGTGATGCCGAAAGGTGGCTTCAGTTGCGTTAACTTCCTTATCTTCGCATGATCTTGCGTCGTCTCTGCTGCTCCTGGTACCAAAAAGCAATCAGGGCCCTTGCTTAGTCGCTTTTGCATTTCTGTATTCGAAACAAGCAATTCCTAGAGTCACAACGGCTAAATTACGAAGTCATCAGTGTTTGATCAACCAGTCATGTACACTGTGCAAGGTTGAGTTTTTATTTTTCGCCTCCAGGCACATGCAGATCCGCTATTGCGCAACCTCGATGGTAAGACTCCGTTGGACTTCGCGGAGAGCACCACTGCCCTGGTGTTGTTGGGTGAATTTCGCAAAGCTGACCTCCTCGAGGCCGCCCGCGCCGGCAAGGAAGACAAGCTCTTGGCTTTGTTAACCCCTCAAAATGTGAACTGCCACGCTGACGATGGCCGAAAGTCAACACCCTTGCACTTAGCTGCGGGTTACAACAGGTCTGACTTCGTTCTACCAGTGGTTTATGATTTCTGTCTCTGCAACCGTCCCCTGACAACGAACTAAACCTGTCTAAAAGTGTTTCACAACGTCAGGATGCCCGTTTCTGGCCTATTGGTCTTCATCAGCCACGGTCGGGCATAGCTCTCGAGTTCGACCACCATTACCTTTTTTAAAAACTAGCTTACATTTTCTGCTGTAAGCCTTCACTTTGTATATTCTACCTCCGGGTTCCGTAGCATGATGAACGAAGGGATTGCCTGCACTGAGGTTGTACGCCTGCTCCGCAGATGTTATGATTCTTTTAGCCTTCAAGTTCGAAGATTTCAAGCCCCAGCATTCTTCCCAGACTGTCCACCACGCTGTCCATTGCTTATTTTCTACCATAGTCGGCCAAAGACTTGAGTAAAATGTCCCTACGTGTTACATAGTGCCATTAGCCGCGATCTGCATGGACATCACGCGGAATTTAGTAGACTTTACGTTGTCAACTCCCTCAGGTCCAGTGCTGTAATGTGTTTTGGCGTCTTGTCGATTTTTAATCACTTTGGTGCCGCCATCATTTGCACTTTTTCGTCTTCAGCGCACAAAATTCCCCGAACGTTTAGTTTTTTTCCAACTACTATGTAATAATTGGACAGAGGCGGATAGTTTTGAAGCGGTGTATCGTTCTCCGTCTCAACGATTGATGAAGTGGATGCGAAAGGAATAAACACCGTACTGTCTGTTCTAATGCTCATCGTACTAAATGTCGTTTGTTCCCTGTCTGAGCGCAGACTTAACGTTACTGTTGCTCAGTCCTTATCGTTGCGTAGACCTGCAACTGCCCCTGGGCGACCTGGGTACGTGTTTAGACTGTTTTTGGTCGTCGCTTCCGAGGGGCATCGCGCTACACGTTGACGTGAGGATATAGTAAGCTTTAGGATACGCCCAATGCCTGCAGGTAACCGTACACAGCCAAACAAATCGGTGGTCTGGGTAGCTTTGACTGGTTCTCCACATGCCAGACGTGAATGCTGTAAGTGCATACATTGCGTGAAGAGCGCTACGTACGCACCTGCTGGCCGTAGACGACCTTGGTTTCCGCGAGAGTGGCAGGGTAATGGGCAATGGAGAATCCACTTCCCTTCGACCTGACAGTTTTCTGCGAGGTTACAACTGTACTCCCGATCACATCAACACACCTCATAATGTGCCTAATCATAATACCTCAGGGGACGTCGTGGTCATTGACTTAGCGGCGGTTACAGTCACATGACTCAATTTCATTCCATTGCTCCATTCACAAGGTTCTGGGTTCTTGCTTGTATCATAGTTTTGAAGCGATGTACTCAAGTGCTTCCCGTAAACAACGTTACTCTCTAGTACATGAATTAAACTCAACCACTTCCCTTTTACGAAATGGTTAACCTAGAGAAAACTTTAGTCAGCAGTGCCTTCTCAGGGAGTTTGCAGACGTGTATGTTGATTTTACCACTTAGATCAGGACAGAACAACTTTTTCCCGGAAATTTGTGCGTCTCGTAAAATGTAAATCACTTGTTTCTGAAACTTCGGGCCAGTTTTTTTGTCATTTTTCCTTTAAACGCTCCTCACTTTCCTCTTATCCAATTGCAGAAGCCGTATCGTTCAAATTCTCCTCGCTGCTGGGGCCGATGTGCGCGCAAAGGACAAGGGTGGTCTCATTCCACTGCATAACGCTTGTTCCTACGGGCATTTAGAGGTTTGCGAAATGCTTATTGCTGCTGGTTCTGGTCCCGAACAGGTACACTCAGCCGACCTCTGGCAGTATACACCACTCCACGAGGCAGCCAGTAAGGCTCGCGCTGAAGTCTGTTCTCTCCTACTGGCTCATGGAGCCAATCCTTATCAGCCTAACATCCATGGACGGGCGGCTGTGGATCTGGCGCCCACTCCAGAGTTGCAGGAGCGCATCTTACATGAGTACAGGGGTGAGTTACTGCCGGACCTTTTGACTGTTGGCTGTATGCCGCTGACCTTGGTAATCACGGGCAATCGGATCATTGCAAACGGGGACATTCAATATGCAGTCCACGGAGTGGGCGTGAATTGGTTTATACTGAAGCCGACTTGTGCGGCGCCGCTCACACTCCTCCCTCATCAACCTGGCTCCGGTAGCAGTACAGTGTCAGGACGCAGGGGGGTTTGGGCAGTTACCGACTGGTGGAATAAGGCGATGTTTGTGGTCCGTGCTGTGTTGGTTGCGGATGACTGCCTGGAGGACTAAGAGCCATGCTTCTTCTTCTTCTTCTTCTTCTTCTTCTTCTTCTTCTTCTTCTTCTTCTTCTTCTTCTTCTTCTTCTACTACTACTACTACTACTATTACTACTACTACTACTACTACTACTACTACTACTACTACTACTACTACTACTACTACTACTACTACTACTACTACTACTACTACTACTACTACTAACTACTACTGCTACTACTACTACTACTACTACTACTACTACTACTACTACACCAATGGCGACAACGACAGCAATCACAACTACTGGCGTGTTATTCTAGTAGAGGTAGATGTGTTCTTCGACGCGTGGCACAGTGTTGCCGCAGAAAGTATGGCCTTGTAAGCTTATTCCTGAGAGAGCAATTATCTGTCCTAATAATCTCTGTCTATCTGTCTGTCTGCTCCCCTAACCGGATCTTGTTATTCCAAGGAGCAAATTGACTTCTGAAACTGCTGGGCTCTATTAGACCCTCTATAGATTATGCTGACGATAGTGATTTTCGACGCAGCTGACTCCATAATTTTCTTACCTGTGCGTACTGATCTGGTAATCTGGGAAAAGCTTGTCAATCAGAGATCACCTGACTACATATATTTATTGACCTGTTACATCGAGAAAAGGTCAACAAGAAGGGGTCGAACCACCGAGTTTGCCGGCCTATGTTTGTTGGCCTACAGCCAGGTTATCACGTTGCCATCCGATAACCTGCTGACCAAGCGGCCGATCACAACCGACGCGGTGCGTTTGCTCGACGTGGCATGCAGTCCAGTCAGGTCCTCTTGTGTTGCCTTGCTTAAAATAATCCACTTAACCAGTATGTTTATGGTACATGCTCGTTA